CCCAATATCCCTACAGTTTCATAGCCTTACAGCCCTATAGCCTTATAGCCCTATAGCCCTATAGCCCTGTAGCCTTATAGCTGTATAGCCCTATAGCCCTGTAGCCCTATACCCTATAGCCCTATAGCCCCATAGCCGTATAGCCCTATAGCCCTAGTAGGCCTCTAGCCCTATAGCCCTATAGCCCCATAGCCTGATAGCCCTAAGAAGATCTTGATCGGGATTGCTCTCCGGTATCATATTATTACTCTTATTGTGATAGGTTCCCTCTTCCCGTTTTTATTATTACTCGTCTTCGTCATCCTCCTCCGCCCTCCTCCTCCCCCTCCTCCTCGTCCTCCCCAAGAATCTAGGCCTCGTAGATGCGGTCCGACTAGATGGGATCGGAGGATCGCGCCGCATCGCTGATGCATCGCTGACGCATCGGCGACGTCGGCGATGCATCGGCGCCGTCTGCGTGGAGAAAATCAGACTCCATATGAAGCCGCATCGGCGATGCATCGGCGATGCATCGGCGTTTCAGCGCGATCCTCCGACAGCATCTACTCGCACCCCATGTGAGAGGCCTGGAGATGCAAGGTCGGAGGTCGAGGTTCGAGGTCAAAGGTCAAGTGTCGAGGGTCAAGAATCGAGTGTCGAGATTCGATGATAGAGGTCTCGAGACGCTCCTTGCAGGTGTTCGGCCTTCGAAAGCCTCCAGGGACCGCTGGGGGCCTCGGGGGACCCCCGAGGAGGAGGGGGAGCAGAGGAAGGTGGGAGGGTTGACAAGTTGTTCCCTGGTCCGCCCTTCGTTGCCAGAAAGCGGCATTAGAATGTTACAGAGGCCGCGCATTGGGATGTCAACGAGATAGGTTGCAGTGGCAAGGCCAGAGGCAAAAGAAACAGAGCAGTGGGGAGCGGGACTGCGAAAAGAGGCAAGACGAGAACATCGACGTAGTTGTAGCGAGTGACGAAAACCAGAGACTTGCAGCCAATGCGGTCCATGTTACCCTCATTGGACATGTCGATATGGTACAAGTTGTTGACCTGGGAGATAGGCGACGACGGAGGATGATTCTGACGGCACGCTGCGGCGGAAAGCGAAACCAAGCGAATGCGCACTTGCATAGAGGGTGCTCCGAAAAAAAAAACTGAGAACACACACAGGAGGGGAAGGAGAACAGGAGGGGGAGGAGGAGCGGAAGGGACGATGAAAAGAAAGCAGGGGGATGGAGCACGGGGAAGCGCGACAGCAGGATAGCCAAATCAGCTGCTGGCAGCCGCCAGATGCGGGTACTTAAACCTGGCGTCAAGACGGCACGTCGAACTCCTCCTCATCCTCCTCAGCCTCTGCCTCCTCCGCCTGCACCCCCTCCTCCTCCTCATCCTCCTCCTCATTTGCCTCCTCTCCCCGCCGACTCAGGATGAATTCTAAGCAATCTCGGGCCAGGCCAGCTCAGACTCGAGCGCGCCTGGCTCGAACCATGCAGGCCATACCCGTTAGAGTGGATTTCGTTAAACTGTAGCTCTGGCCAGCCCCGAGAGCTTGACGGGAAGCACACGTACCGCCGCGAGACTCTGCATGACTCCTGAATATGATATTGGCGATGTTGCGGGCTTCGCGATATGTCAAGTCAAAGGTCATGTGGCTTATCTGATGCGAACCCCCCATTCATGGTGTATAAGGATGTAACGATGTACGATGATTGGAGTGCCCCTGGCTATTACGCTGACATTGAGTGCCCAGCAGCTTGTCGACTGAACCGTACAAGCATTAGGATGTGTTCCTTACATTCCTGTTGGTGGATCAGGGCGTGGCCTTCGTGTTTGCGGACGCGCATATCACGCATTGAAGTAGTGTTATACTCGCAGTGAGTTGATGCCGTGCTCCTTGCTATTACATGCATCGCGCCCTGCGCCCAGGGGGAAGAATCGAGTTGGTGTTGCTCCTCGGCCGAGCTCAGGCGTCAGGCCGCTCAGTGCCTCAGGGGAGCCGCTGGGCCAGGCCAGGGTGGAGAAATTGCTCCTTCAGAAACGTGTGCTAGTTATTCTCCAATGTGTTTGGAGTCAGTTCGTGCTTGGGCCAGCGGAGCATTAGTTGTGGCATCTGCACCGCGCACACAGAAGCGAGCTCAGGCCCCAGCAAAACGATAGCAAGCACCGTGAATTTTGCGTGGCGGGGGATGTTCACGGCGAGAGCCGCCATCTGCAGAGCATGAAAGGCAAAGTCTCGTGCTGCGGCCTGTCCACGGCGAGAGCCGCCATCTGCAGGGGTGGCGCTGCGGACCCGCCGCTGCAAAGCATGAGGTGGGAAAAACGGGAGATGCTCCCCCTCAGAACAGAGCATGCGGGGGGCGGCCGCTGGTGGCGGACACCCCCGGCCGCGCGATTCCCCCGCCGCCGGCCACCCCCACACGGCGGCACCAGTTTTTCATCCCGAGCCGCTTCTTGACGGCCCCAGGGCCCAGCGAGGGCCCCCTACAGGGGCCGAAAATGCGTCACACAACATCGTCGTGACTGCTACATGGCCCGAGGGGGGGAGGGGCAGGTCCGCGTTCCTCCGAGGGGCGTCGAGGACAGCCCGAAGCGGAAGCGCGCCAAAGCAGGAGGCGGGCATCCGACGGCGCGCGCCCGAGGTCGCAAGGCGGGAGCACAGCGGCCCGGCGCCTCGGTCGGCGCCGCAGACAGCGCAGGAACGAAGGAAGAAGCTGGCCCCTCGGGTGCGGACTCACAGGTTCTTGGAAACGGCAGGGCCGGTATTTGACCATTTCCACGAATCTCTATCTTGAGAATGTGAACGACAATAAAGCAACAACAGAAATCAACGGAACAAGCGGAAAACAAGGCTGGACAACAAAAAAACAACAAGAACACAAAAACTACTAACCAAAAATAAACGGCTCTAGGCTTGAAACCGGAGCCGAAGCCGAAAAACAACAGCGACGGAAGCGGAGAAAAAACGGCACACGAACCGGGGAAAGAACAGCAAAATCAGGACGGAAGAACCAACGGCCCTGTCGTTGACGGCACGACGCGGTGTCGGTGGGCACCTTCGAGAGCACGGCACGGAGGACGACGTGGAGGGCCCAGATGTCGAAGCAGACTGTCCTTATTCGCCACGCCGAGCTGCGTGCAAGACGGCACTGTAGTCAACCCGTTGAATGAGGACGCACGAGAAGGATGCAGGGGCCTCGGAAGGCCCTGTCGACACTTTACGAGCGGGGCGCGGCCAGCGAAAGCGGCCAAGGATGGGCCGAAGGGAAAGGATGCCAAGGGTAACCTAGGAAAGCTGCTCATCATCAACATGCGGGTTGACTGAATGGGAAGAAAACTGCCCAGAATCACAGGGATCTTCCTCGTACTCCTCGCCCGTGGCTTCCCTCCTCCCTGCTCCCTCATCCTGGGTGCCGCTCCTCATGCTCGTTGTGTGCCTTCTCCTTCTCATCCTCATCCTCCCCCGCATCACAACGGGCTTACAAGAAGGGGGCGAGCCCTGCCTGTGACGCACTCGAAGCTGAATGGTGCGACTGCCACGCTCGTGTGGCTCTGCAGCGTAACGCTGTTGTGCAGTCCGCCCACAACAGGTTTCCAACACATACTGGAAACAAAATGGGATGGCCTTACGAGAGGACACGAAGCATGAGCGTGAAACCGCGACACGGCGAAAGAGTGCGCAAGCGAATTCGTTCCACACGGCGCCACTCCCCGGCACTACATCTACAATTGATGCTGAGATGACGATTAAGAGCTCGACTGGACGGCTAGACCACAGCGATGGTAACATAACCCGCGAGATAAAGATGATGCACATGCACGATCCAAGGGTATTCAGAGCCACCCAAGGCTATCTAGAAGCCCAATATAAGGCAATAATTGTCGAGACAGTCCAGGGTGGTCTCCAACAAGTGCCCTGCAAGAGGGTGAAGGCAGCAAAAGTGTAGAAGAGAGCCTTCCAGCCAGAGAGGTTCATCAGGACCTTCACCTCGCCGTGCATGAGGCGCTGCGCCCCCTCGACGATGACACCTCCGCCGCCAGACATCAGCCACCGCGCGCTGGAGACAACTCAGAGATCTAGGCCTGGGTACCAGTCATCTTCGGTGGCAACTCACGGGAGCCTTCGATTACCATCTTGCTGGCTCTTGCGAATCGACGCCAACCGACGCTGGTCGACGCTAAGGTCGACGTCGAACTGGTTCCGTCTCATCGATTACCAGACGCCAACCGACGCTGATGCACTCTGAGGATGGAACAGATAAAAAGGGCACACGAATAGGCAAGCGCGTCACACTACTCCCACAGTAACTGCTTGCAAATGGCCTGGATCCGCCGAGGGGGATCTGCGATCCATCACATCGGGGCAGACGTCTGTTTCTCGGGCGTTTGCGAGTGGGCCCTTCGCGAACAGCAGGAACGCGCTCGGCGAACAAAGCCTCCCGTGACTTGCCACCGAGCCGACAAACGTAGGCCGTCGGGCGCTGTCCATCTCAGAGACTCAGGCAGTCGGGCACCAGACACCCCCCCTCGGAGGCTTGGAAATTGGCACCAGCACCAATACAGGTAGTTGCCTCCACCAGGGGAAGATGACCCTAGACTCTGGTGTGGGTGGTAATGTTTCGTCCACCTCGAAAGTCCGAATATTGACACCATCACGGAGATCGGGATCATCTTCCCTCGGTGCCCTCCGCGCCGCCCTCCGCGCCCCCCCCCCGTGGAGAAGACCGAGGCGCCGGGCGAGGCCGGAGCGTTGAGCGAGAGATGCCATCCCCGTGCCCCCGCGGGCCTGCAGGGGGGGCCCTGGGGCAGCCAGGAGCTCCCGCACCGCGCGGGGGCATCCAAGCGGGGGAGCGTTTGAGAGGGGGGGGAGGGGGGGCGAAGGGGGGGGAAGGGGGGCAAATCGTGGCCCGAGGCACGTGCGCGGACTAGGGGGGTGGGGCCCAGGGGACCTGATGCTTTGAGAAAAGGGGCCACGGAATCCGGGGAGGTGTCAGGGCCCCCACCGTGATATCCACCCCCCCTGGGCATGACCCCCCCTCTTCCCAGACCCCCGCCATCATGATTTGTTCACAACGTCGACTCTGGAGGTCTGGACCATTTCCCTGGGACCAGATATTCGTCCTGAATCGTTTTTGAAGGTCCCGAGGCCCGGCAAGGGCCCCCAGAGGCCGAAAATATTTAAAAACCTCCTGTCGTAAGTTTTTCATTGCCCGAGGGAGTCTGGGTTGGGCGCCCCCGAACCACCGCCGGACCAGCCCAACGGCAATGGGTGAGGCGGGGTGAGCATGACGCACCGGCCCCCGAATCTCCCAGCAGACGGGGACGGCACTCGGGCAGCTGCAGGCGTTACATGGATGATGAGGAGGAGGAGGCGGAGGAGGAGGAGGAGTAGGAGGAGGAGGGAGGAAGAGGAAGAGGAGGAGGAGGAGGAGGAGGAGGAGGAGGGAGCAGGAGGAGGAGGAGGAGGAGGAGGGAGAAGGAGGAGGCTTGGAAATCCGCCGATCCGGCGTGTGAGTTTGAAAGACCCTCAGATATAGCCTGAGCCTCAGTTCTTGAGCTTCAGCTCTGCTGCTGGGGGGGTGGGTAGCGGGGTGGCTCTGCCCGGGCGGGGGGGGGGGTCCGAGTCAATTTTGGCGGCAAAATCGGAGTTCCAGCTCACTCCGGGTCGGCACCTCGCCCCGGAGAGCCCGAACGCGGGCTCATAAAAAACCCAGCGGCCGCCCAGACGGCCCAAGAGGGCCCTGAGTGGCCGAAACATCGCTCCAAGACGCTCATTATGTTCCTCAGACGGCTCCAGATCCTCCAACATACCCTCCCGACACCTCCTAAGAGTGCCCAAAGACGGAAAGGAAAATCTGTCCCATTCCCTTAGGAAAACGTGTATGTCTTGCATGTTCGCTTCTTCGGCCTTCGCAGTGTCCAACACGGCCCAAGAAACCCCCAAAACAGGCCCAGAGGCTCTCAAGAGGGCCCCAAGTCGGCCCAAGAAGGGCCCAAGACGGCCCCGGAGGCCCCCAAGACAGCCAAAGCGGGCCCCAGGACGGGCCCAAGAAGCGCCCAAGAGGGCTTCATGACAGCCCCAGAAGGGCCCAAGACGGCCCAAGAGGCGCCCAGGAGGCACCAAAATGGCACTAGGAGTCCCCAAGAAACCCCGAGAGGCTCCAAGTGGCCCTCAAGAGGCCCCCAAAAGGCGCCCAAAAGCGCTCCCGAAGGCTTAAAATTACCTCCTACACACCCCCAACAGGCCTCCAGGATGCCTCCTGCATGCCCCCCAAGAAGCCCCAAAGGCCCCCTAAGAGGCTCAACAATCACCTCCAAGACGCCCCCCCAGAAGGCCTCGAAGATGCGTCGTAGAGGCCCCTCAAGAAGCCCACGCAATACATCCAAGCTGTTTCCAAACCACTTACGTTTGAACAAGCGCACTGGGGCGAAAGCGTCCTTCTGACAGCGGGATCGTCCTGGATCGGCGGTACCGGCCCGAGGCCTCTACAATAGGCACGCACCAATGCCAACTCAGGGGGGGCCTCCACCAAGGGAAGATGATCCCAGATTTTGGTGTTGGTGGTAATATTTCGGACACCTGGGAAGCGCGAATATTACCACCATCACTGAGATCGGGATCATCTTCCCTCGGTGGAGACACACCGCCAATATTGGTGTTGGTGACAACCTCTAGGCCTCCGAAAGAGGAGGAGGATTCGAGGGAGAGGGGATGGAGGAGGAGGGGGGGAGGGAGGAAGCAAGAGGGAGGAGGGAGCAAAAAGGAAAACAAACAAGGAAGTGGGGGGCAAATTCCTTCAGTTTGCAAGGAAGACATCGCTCCCGTGCTCTTGGCCTGAGACGACACCAGACGACTTGCGACTGGGATTGGACACAATACCTGTGCGCTCATGACGCCGCCGACACACATGAGGTGACGACAGTCATCTCGGACCAAGCTGTTGAGGGGGCTAGCTGGGCTGAAGGTCGGTCCCTCTCTCCCGTGTCCACCCTATCCCCACCCCTTTGGCCCTCCCATCCCATCCCCTGCCCTCCCTTCCTCAGCACTTTTCACTCCCCCCCCGCACACCGTCTCACCATCTCTCGCCTCCCCTCCCCTCCCCCTCCTGCCCCCCAGCCCTCGACTACCATCTTGTCACTGTGTTCACCTCCTATACAAATACCGTCCCAATGATAGCACATAATGAATACTACTCTCCTCCCTCTAACCCCTGACTCTGTCCAGAAGATGCCCCGCCCTCTCAGCGCATTGTTTTCCACACCCGATCTAAAAAAACGTTTCTTTCCTATGTGGTTGTCCCATCCGATCGTTTCCGAGCTGCTGGCCCTGCGCTCCACTACTCGCACAGGAACTACGCGCAAATTGCCTGGATCCGCCACGGGGGCGGTACAATCAATTACATCAAGGCGAACATGTGTTCTTCTGACATTTGCGAGTAAGCACTTTGCGAGTAGTGAAAAACGCTCGGTGATCAAAAGCGTGTTCCCGCTGCAGCACAGGTCTCATTTCCACGTATTCGGTCCTTCCGAATGTAGCTCCCGCTGCAGCACCGACCTCATCTCCACATTGTCGGTTATCCAACATGGTTGTCTGGCTGCGCCGTTCGTGCAACTATGGCTTGCAACTCACTGTCGTGTTGCGTTACGCGACTGTGCGAATGCATGCCTTACCTTGCAATGCTGTGATACGCAATGCTGGACTATACGCAATGCTGTGATACGCAACGCCATACCATGCAAAATTGTGCCGTGTCATGATATGGCATAGCAAGCAATGCTATGTTGTGCACCGTTGTGCGATGTCGTGCCTCGCGCTGTAATGCTGTGGTATGCAATAATTGATTACGCAATGCCATACCATGAGATATCATGCTACGCTCTGCCGTGTTCTCATACGCCATGGTATGTCATGCTTTGCATCGCGTACCGTTTGGGGTATTCGACATCCGAATGTGCGAATATAGGGGCTCTACACATTGATGGAAGGGGAGGGGTAGGACGTCCGACATGACGCGAGCGCACCTAGCTTGATAAGTCTCCCTTCTCACCTGACTCTATGCGGAAGATTCCCCGCCCTCTCCCCGCATTTGTTTAACACCAAATGTCATGGATGGGTTGGTCCTCTGGCTTTTTAGAATCCGATCGGTTGCGGTCATTTCGGAGGGTGCTGCCGCTGCGGCGTGGGCCTCATTTTGGATCAGCGCTTTGCTCCCGTCAGTCAGAACGGCATGCTCGCCCAAACGCGGGTCACGTTTCTGGATCCGAGTCCTTCCTTATCTTTGTCTCCATCCTCATTTCCCCTCCGACGCCGTCCCCTGGTCATCCTGCTCCTCCCGGTCCTTCCACTCCAGCTCCTGCTGCTGATGTTCGTTCTCGTCCGCCTCCTTCCATATTATCACCCTTTTCATCCTGCTAATCCTCTGGAGCCTCTGGAGCATCGGGCAAGTCTATCCCCTCAAGACTGAAAGATAGCCGATTGCGATTCACACGACGGTGTCCTTTTTGCAGGTCCGGGTCCGCTATGACATGCGTCGGTGGATGGAGAAAAAACAGCGCACTCGGAAGGGATGGGTGGAAGGGGCTGGATGTCAGATATGGCGCGAGCGCACCCAGCTCGCCCACCCCCACGTTTGCCCCATCCACCCATCCCTTCCAACTCCCGCTGCGTCCCCCTCCCCCATCAGCGGGGCTCTGGCCTAAAGCTCTCAGCAAGGCTGAGATGGCCCAGAGACACGGCAACCGATCGTAGGTTGCGGCGGAGGTGGATTCGTATCGCTACGCGATCAAGCAGAGTCTCCAGAGCCTCCCCATCTGCGGGGCTCGGACGGAGGCGCTGTCCGACTCGCCGCCGCGGCTGACGCAGCTCTCGCCGAAGCCCACCCAGCACTGGCCGGGGGTCAGGGGGCCGCTGGAGGTCGCGTTGACGTACTGCGGCGTCGGCAGGGGGAGGGGGGAGCCAGGCCAAGGGACAAGCGGAGGAGGTGGTGGCGGCGAGCGAGAAGGGGAAGCGAGAAGGAGAAGGCCTTCTCAGAAGGAGGCGGGGCTTCTCAGAAGGCCTGGCGCCTTCTAAGGACGTTTCCTGTGGCTTCGGGGAAGGCTGGGAGAAAACTTATAAGGCCAGGAGACTTCCGAGCCTTCTGAGAGGGCCTTCTCCTTCTCACTCGCCCCCTGGGCCCGCCGCCGGGGTGGAGGAGCAACAGGGAAGGAGGGCTAAGCAGTGGGGGAGGACTGGAGGAGGGGAAGAGGCGAACGAGGAGGAGCAGAAGCTGGGGGCTCAGGAGCAGCGGGGGGGGAGAAGGGGAGAGCTGCGGAGTGCCAGATACCACTACTGGGTTTCGCTGCCTGCCCACCCATGAGCGGAATACAGTCAACCGCACCCCGGACGATTACTCTCTCGGGCTCGTGAGCATCCCTTTGCGATGCGAAGCGATCTCACACGGCTGGCTTCGCCTGCGCCCAGGAGGATGTGTGAACAGGCATGTGGCATAAACGCCATCGCGTGGCCCACCGAACTTGCGCGCATCGGCCTCCACGCGAATCCATATGCTTTCAGCGCGCTCCCCGCAGGAGGAGGAGGAGGAGGAGGTGGGGGAGGAAGAGGACGAGGATGGATCGCTCAGGTTTGCCGAACGTACAAAAAAAGAGGACGAGGACGAGGAGGAGGAGGAGGAGGAGGAGGACGAGGACGAAGAGGAGGAGGAGGAGGACGAGGAATGCGCTTGGCGGCTTTCATCAGGCCGCATCGACCTCTCCTTGCAGAGCTTGGGCCCGCGGTCCCTCGTGGTCGAGAGCTGGGCGGCGGCGGCGGCACGGCCGTCCGAGGTCTCCCCCAGAGAGCCCCCTCCCCGGACCCTGGCAGGGCGAGGCGGCGTCGGGGGCTAGAAAGACGGACGGCGCGCACAACAAGGGGGGGGGGCGGGGGCCCAGCGCCGATCCGGGGAATCCGCGCGGGCCTCCGGGTTTGATTGTTTATGCCATCGTTCGTTCCCCTGTTGCAAAGTGGTTACCCGACGGCGCTCGGCGGTGTTCCTCAGGCCGCCTCGGCCTCCCCGGGGAGGGGGCGGGGGTCGGGGGCGGCCAAGAGGGGGGCGTCATAGAGGGGGGGGGCGCAAATCATGGCCGGCGGCACGTGCGCGGCCCAAGGGGGGGGCCGGGGACGTATTGAAATAAGAAGAGGCGCCATGAAATCTGGGGAGATGTCATGGCCCCGCCGTGATATCCAGCCCCCCCTAGTCCTCACCCCCTTTGCCGCCCCCGAGGGGGTGGAGGGGGGGGCAGGCAGGCAGGCAGGCGCTGCAGTTCGCGCCAGGGCGCGGCCCTCTCAGAGCGCAGCGGAGGCGCCGGAGCGCCGAAACTCACTTCTTGATGATGTTTTCGCTCTGGTGCATTTTACCGTAACCAGTACAAATAAAAGGCAGGGGGGCTTGTCACATCACTTGTCCGCGTCGCACCCCATCACTTGTCACCAGGTGGTGGTGGGGGGGGGGCCCTTCCATGAGTGCCAGGAGGGGCCCAAGAGGGCACCAAGACGGCCCGCGAGGGCCCCAAGACGGGCCAGGGAGGGCCCCAAAACGCCCGAGAAGATCCGAAAACGACCCCTAGAGAGCCCCAAGAGGGACCCAAGAGGCTCGCAAGAGAGCCCGAACAGCCTAAGAGCGGCCATCCTGCCTTCTGAGAAGCCTTATTTGAAGCCTCCGTCCTCCTAAGAAGGTCCCTGCCTTCTTAACAGGCCACCCCACTCGGCCCGCCCCCATCTGCGCGCCGCTGGATTCAGGCAAGAGGGTGAGAGAACCAAGACCTGCTCCTGAAGGACGCGGGGGGAGGCGGACAAAGACGGCAATACAGGGAGGGGGAGAAAAGGGAAAGAGACGAGACGAGAGAAGGAGGCCTCCCTCCTCCCGACACCAGACCCACTCAAAGCCAGCATCGGACCCCTCCCGGGCACCGCCGCTACTCGTTCCCGAATGGCTTACAGCTGTGGCAGCGAGGAGGTCGCCCGAACGTCAAAAATTAGCCTGACGAAACACCCAACCATACGTAGTTGTGAATACCGCAATTGTGGATATATTCTTCGGTAGCGCCCTCGGGCCACGAAACGTGTGAGGGGTGTGCCGAAATGGGGGGGTGGAACCGCATGCGAGCGCAGCCACTGGGGCGCTCGGAGGAGCTCCCTATGGAGCCACGAAACGTGTGAGGGGTGTGCCAGAATGGGGGGTGGAACCGCATGCGGGCGCAGCCACTGGGGCCTTCGGTGGAGCTCCCTATGGGGCCCCGAATCGTGTGAGGGGTGTGCCAGAATGGGGGGTGGAACCGCATGCGGGCGCAGCCACTGGGGCCTTCGGTGGAGCTCCCTATGGGGCCACGAAACGTGTGAGGGGTGTGCCAGAATGGGGGGTGGAACCGCATGCGGGCGCAGCCACTTGGGCCTTCGGTGGAGCTCCCTATGGGGCCACGAAACGTGTGAGGGGTGTGCCAGAATAGAGGGTGGAACCGCATGCGGGCGCAGCCACTGGGGCCTTCGGTGGAGCTCCCTATGGGGCCACGAAACGTGTGAGGGGTGTGCCAGAATGGGGGGTGGAACCGCATGCGGGCGCAGCCACTGGGGCCTTCGGTGGAGCTCCCTATGGGGCCACGAAACGTGTGAGGGGTGTGCCAGAATGGGGGGTGGAACCGCATGCGGGCGCAGCCACTGGGGCCTTCGGTGGAGCTCCCTATGGGGCCACGAAAAGTGTGAGGGGTGTGCCAGAATGGGGGGTGGAACCGCATGCGGGCGCAGCCACTGGGGCCTTCGGTGGAGCTCCCTATGGGGCCACGAAACGTGTGAGAGGTGTGCCAGAAGGGGGGGTGGAACCGCATGCGGGCGCAGCCACTGGGGCCTTCGGTGGAGCTCCCTATGGGGCCACGAAACGTGTGAGGGGTGTGCCAGAATGGGGGGTGGAACCGCATGCGGGCGCAGCCACTGGGGCCTTCGGTGGAGCTCCCTATGGGGCCACGAAACGTGTGAGGGGTGTGCCAGAATGGGGGGTGGAACCGCATGCGGGCGCAGCCACTGGGGCCTTCGGTGGAGCTCCCTATGGGGCCACGAAACGTGTGAGGGGTGTGCCAGAATGGGGGGTGGAACCGCATGCGGGCGCAGCCACTGGGGCCTTCGGTGGAGCTCCCTATGGGGCCACGAAACGTGTGAGGGGTGTGCCAGACGGGGGGGTGGAACCGCATGCGGGCGCAGCCACTGGGGCCTTCGGTGGAGCTCCCTATGGGGCCACGAAACGTGTGAGGGGTGAGCCAGAATGGGGGGTGGAACCGCATGCGGGCGCAGCCACTGGGGCCTTCGGTGGAGCTCCCTATGGGGCCACGAAACGCGTGAGGGGTGTGCCAGAATGGGGGGTGGAACCGCATGCGGGCGCAGCCACTGGGGCCTTCGGTGGAGTTCCCTATGGGGCCACGAAACGTGTGAGGGGTGTGCCAGAATTGGGGGTGGAACCGCATGTGGGCGCAGCCACTGGGGCCTTCGGTGGAGCTCCCTATGG